AATATTTAAATATTCAAGTATTTAAGAGTGTTTAAAGCAGGTTTAAGCTCTAATAATTAATTAATTTGGTTAAAAAATATATAATTATATATTTTTTTAGGTTCTAAATATTTTTTACTTAAAAAATTATATAAATTATTTTAATAATATTGTAAATAATTTTAATTTATATTTTTTTTGTTTAAAAATATTTAAAAATGTCTAAATTTATATTCAAAACTGTTTATTAACAACTGCTTATAGGTGTTTCTTGTAAATTTTATAGTTATATAAAAGTAATATATCTAACTCTGTTGTTTACTTTATGAAAAACTTTTGGCTTTTGCCAATCACTTTTTCTATAATTTTAAAGCACTTTTAGACTATTATTACAAAGAAACAACCTTTTATTTTTATATTTACTATATGTGTCTAATGCTTTAAAGAAGTTTACAAGTTAAATAAATATATAAAGAATGAATAATAAGTAAATAGCAAAAAAAAATCTGTCATTATTCTACTTTATATCTGCCAAATAATAGCAGCATAACAGTAGCATAACAGCAAAATAACAGTAAAATAACATAAAGTTTGTCAATATAAATAACATAATAGTAACATAATAGCAAAATAATAGAACTGTTTTATTATTTTGTTATTATATTACTATTATGTTACTTATATCAACAAACTTTCTGTTATTTTACTATTATTCTGCTATTATGCTACTATTATGCTGCTATTATTTGGCAGATATATAGTAAAATAATGGCAGATTTTTTTTTGTTATTTATCTATTATTTACTTTTTTATTTATTTATTTAATCTGTAGTTATTATAATGTTTAATATATTAACTATAGTGTTTTTTTATAGTTTAACTTTTTAAAAAGTTTGGTTCTAATAATTATCAATTAATTAATGAATTTAAAAAAAATGAAATCTAAAATAATAAGATTTTTAGAAATTTAGTTTAATAATAATCTTAATAAAAACTAAATTAAAATAAAAACAAAAAACTAGTTTGTTCAATAGCAAGGCTTTTAATTACTAAAAATATAATAGAAATTTAAAATTATATATAACTTATATACTTATTATATTATTAGTATAATAATTATTTTTACTATTAAGTATTGCTTATATAATATTGTAATTAACTAATCTATTTGCAATAAAATTTTTATTTAGCACATTAGTTTTGTTAAACTTAAAGTCAAACTCTGCTATATAATACCTGCTAATACTATTTTATATCTTTAAATTTATAATATTAAAATATTTAGAACATTTAACTACAACATTATATTTCTAATATTTTTAAATAACTTAATAACTCTTACTTATTAAACACATCTATCAGTAATATCTAACAAATTTTTTGCTAGCTTATTAATAATATCTATAGGTAAAACACTAGAGTCTTTATATCTTCAAGTTTTTTTAAAATCTCTTCTTCAGTTTTTATAGTTGTATGTGTTACATGTCATCTTTGAATTATAGATTCTGAAGATATACCAGTTTTAGATTATAAGTTTTTATTAGTTATTTTGATTTTCATACTGTTATATAGCTCTGTTGTTTGCAGAAAATCATTAACTATTTCTATCACTGTGTTATCAATTTGTTCTTTCAGACATTTTTTATTTTTTATTACCTTTATAAATGTTATATCTGATATATCTTGTCCTGTATTTACTAGTGTAACAGTTTTATAAATATCCTGCTTAACAATATTATTCAATCTATTGATGCTTTTTTTATAGAATGTAAATATTTGTTAATAACACTCATTTGTTAATTGTGTAGTTTTTACAAATAAGATATAAGATTCAGAATCCTAGCTGCTAAATGCTAATTTTAGTTCATCAATTAGCTTCTATAAGGCTTGATGACAGTCTTTAACTAATTGTAATTTTTAACTAATTGTAATTTTTTGTTTACCACTTTACCTTCAGCAAACTTTAAAATTAACCAATCAAAATAATTATATTCAGCCTATATTACTTTTATATTTAGCTTCAAATTTTCTAAATCTGTTGCTCGACCAGTTATATTTTTCTTAAGAAATTTTACTTCAAATATTTCTAGAAACTTATCATAATCCAAAAAATGCTTTTTTGTATCAATAAAAAATACAGATTGAAGATCTTAAAAAAATTGAGAATTATTTTAAAGGTCTAATAAGAATCAAGTGATTAATTCAGTATATTTAAATTTTCTTGTAACAGAAAATAAAGATGCAAATGCTATTAAATTGTGCATTTGCAAGTCAAAATTTGGGATCTAAATACTGAGCTTATATAATGTCAAATAGCCTGTCTATTGGTAAAAATTGTATTATACTTTTAGAAAATCATTATCTTTTTCATAAATATTATTAATAAAAATATTTTTTTTAAAATATATTAATGAATTGCAACCTCTACCACTACTTAAATAAATTCAAGCATCTGAAACATTGTACAATAATCAGCAATTTTTGCAAATTTATCAAGAAACTTGATGCCAAGTTGTGTAGCAAGTCTAAAAAGTCTATAATCTAAAAAAATAACAATTAGTGCACTGCATATTGCTTTGCTCATATGCCATTGTCCTAAAATGCAATGCACTATTTGCTTTTCATTTTTATAATCTTTTATGTAATAAAAGATTGCTTCATCATATATTAAGTTTAATATACCATTTTTAATATAACCAAAATTATTTAAAAACATATCAATAGCCTTGTGAACCTGCTTATTTTTACTTAGTGCTTTTTCTAGTTCAAGAATTACAAGATTTGAAAAGACTATAAAAAATACTAAGTTGATATTCTTTCTGATAGTTGCATTAACACTTTCAATGCCAAACTCTAACCTTTTATAAATTAATTGATTAAAAATTATATTTACTTTTGTTTGACATTTTTCTATAATAGAACTTACATCAAAAAGATTATGATTTTTTATTAATTCTTCATTTAAGCTGCTAACTTCTAAATGTTGAAATTGAAAGACCATTTGCACTATCACATAAGTAGTAATATGAATTGCATTATATGTATTACTGTATTGAAAGGCTTTATCTTTTGTATCAATATTGTCTATAACTGTAATATTTAAAATATTTAGGTTTGTATTAAGTCTTAACCAAGGTTCTATAGTAGACATTCTTTTGAACACATGTTTTATAATCTTTAACATGTGACATCACCCAAACTGTATGAAAATGTTATAAATGCTTAAAATTAGTTTTTATTAATAAAATTAGATCTATTACCTATTTGATATATATTTTTAGTTATACTAAAAAAAAAAGTTAAAATTTATACAAATAATACAATTAAATAACAGGTTTTAATAAGAAAAAAACTAAGAATAAGTAGTTAATAAATTAAAAAAAATTATAATTTATAAAAAAATATAACTATTTGAGCTAAAAGAATTAAAGTTAAATTTAGTTAAAATAAAGAATTATAATAATAAGAAATAAAATAACAAGTAGATAAATTAACAAAAAAGAAAAATAATATAAATAATTTAGATAAAATTATAAACAGACTATTAATAGATTTAGTATAATTAGTAGCTTTAGTATAATTAGTAGAGTTATCATAATTAGAAGATTTAGTATAATTAGTAACTTTAGCATAATTAATAGATTTAATATAATTAGTAGATTTAATGTATATAATATAGTTAGAGTAATTAGTGTATATAGTATATTTAGTGTATATAGTATATTTAGCATATAAAAAAAAGTATATAAGTAATGCATTCTAAATGTAAAAAGAAAAATCTTGTAATATGATTAATAAAGTAACACTTACTCTTAGTACTTACCAAATCCAATGCCTCTTTTAAGTACTATTCTGTCTGGCATTATACAAAAAACTTTCATTTATCTTATAAATAAAGATTTTTAAAAACCAAACTTTTTTATAATACTACAGTAAATAAAAAACTACTAATACTTAAAATTTTAGTAAAAAGACATTCAAATATATACAAAAATCCACATTATATTTTATATAAAAAAAATAAAAAAAATTAAGATCATTTAAAAACATATAAAAACTATAAAAAAGAATATATAAATGCAATAAATATAATTATTAATATGATTTGAACAATGTTCTTAAAAGAAACTTATAAGAAGACAAGTAAAGAAGAATTAATAAAAATCTTATAAGAAGTCTTAATAAAAAAATCTGAATATTGATCTAAAAATATTAAAAAACTAATAAAAAAAGATCAAAATAATATTACAAGATCTTATTCAAATATTTAAAGAAATCAAAGAGTTTATAACTGTTTGAATTAATACAATATAAAATAGTTTTTTTAAAAATATATAGAAAAAAATATTATAAAATAGTAACTAACTAAAAAAAAACAAATAGAATTAATTCTGTAAATAAGAAAAAAAACTTAACTTGTACCTGAAATGAGTGAATAGTTGTAGAGTTGTTAACTTAAACCTAACCTAAGCTCATAAAGTGTTAAAAGGTACCATTGTAAAAAAAAACATTCGAAAAATTTTTATAACCTTCATATACTAATTATTAGAATAATTTTAATTTGTGCTAGTGGTTATTGATAACCAGGATGCTATATCTCAGAAAATTTACTAAGTAACCAAGTTCAGTTATACCCGCTAAAAATGTTCAGGACTCAGAAAACCTAATGTAACTAAATTTGACCCTTTTAATCTAACCTAGATTATGTTTTATAAATCCTTATTTTATATTAAAACTGCAATAGAAAATTATTAATAACCACTGGCATAAAGAATAATAATTTTTATTAATTGATTCTACAGCGTAATGTTAATTACATATAATAAAATATATTTAACTTTTCAAATGAAATTATAATATCTAAAAGGAATACAACCTTCGGAAATACAACTTTCACTGATATAATACACTGGACTTGCTAAGCTCCGCATGTACAGTGCTTGTGTACAGTACAGTACTCTGAATTTCGAATGATCAAATTCGGATTACTGTAATTGGTCAGTATTAAAGAATTCGATCACCTAAAGTGTTAATTTCGATAAGTTGTCTGCAAGGTCCGGAAAGTAGAAAAGACGACTCGTCCATACAGCTTCTGGATGTGAACCAGAATAAGCAACCGAAGCAATTTGAGGAATAAATTTATCAGCTTCTTCAAATTCTTTACGAATTTTTAATCTCTCTTCATCCAAGTATGCAATTTTCCAATTGCAACTTTTATCCCAGACTAAAATAACGTTCCATACTTCATCAATTGTCGGACGTTTTTCGGGATTAGGATCCAAACATTTATTGACCAGTTGTACATAACATTCTGGTACACCCTTACCGTATTCTGGACGTAAACCTTTACATATTTTAAGTGCCAGATCAGCATTGTGAGGAAGATTATTAAATGGCGGCTTCCCCGTTGCTATTTCAATCATGATCATTGCAAGACTATAAATATCTGCTGCTTGAGTATATTCTTGTCCACTTAGGACCTCTGGAGAAATATATGGTAGCACACCAATTATTCCTTTGCCTGATTCACTTAATTTTTTTAACGAGTGAACCAATCCAAAATCTGCGATCTTTGATCTGGAATCCTTTGCTTGTAATATATTACCAGTATGAAAATTTCCATGAAAAAAGTTTGTGTATTTATGTATATAAAATAGATTGTTGGTGATTTCGGAAAGTAATTCAATTTTTGATTTCCATTTCAAATTAGAAAAATTTGTCTTTAAATAAGTTCTGAGATCACCACAGTCACAGTATTCAATTATCATCATGTATACATTAAAATTTTGGTCGTAAGTTATTCCATATGTTTTGGGAAAATGATGAGATTTATCCGAATTTGCATGATATACTTGAAGCTTTATATATGAGAAAAGGAGATTAATTAATTTCTCATAGAAAATTAACAAATATAAGTAAAAATATAATTTACCTCTTTTAAAAAATCATCAACTGCATCTTTAGATGTCGGCAATGTTTTGAGCGCGACTTTAATTGGTTGAGAACGTATATTTTTCCATTCGCCATCGATTTCTTTTTGTTGCCTTTCACCATCTAACCAAAGTGCTGAATAAACAGTACTAAAACTACCCTGTCCAATTATCTGAACATTTTTAAATCTGCAAAAAGGAATACATTCAAGAAATGTATCCATGTAAGATTTTGATTCTAACTGTGTTGCCTTAATAAATTCATCGACTGCAACATTCTCACTAGTCCATCCTTCAGTCAACTTTCTGGGATCACAAGATTGACACCATCCGTAGGTTGTGTTGAATTCATTACAATTAGAACATGTTCCGTACAATTCATTTCTTAAGCTTTCAACATTAAATTCATCATCTGGTATATTACTTCCACAACTGGAATCAGAATCATCATTGGATGAAATATTAGCATCTCTATATGATATTACTAATGAAAAATCATTGTCTTCATTTGATACGTTTGCTGAATTATCATCATCTGATACGTTTACTGAATTATCATCATCATCATCTGATGCATTTGTTAAACTATAAATATCTTCATTCGATACTTCTATCGAGTCATCTGTCTCTTCTTCTAATGCCTCAATTGAGTCAACTGGATCCATTTCGATAATATTTAGATACTCGATTGGTTTATCGATATAAATTTCTTAAATTTTATTAATTTTATTCAGGTACATATACAAAAAGGATTTTAGTGTGCTTAAACGGGATTCATCACTATTTCAGATCAGCATCATTATTGTGTGTATATATCGATATAATGGCTGGGGATTGTTAATTACCGCAATTTTACGTAATTTTTATGTATCAAATTGATGGCACAGTCAGCCATTGTTATAGCCGAGAACGTGGACGGGCCGCACATTACATACAGATCCTGGTTGCTGCAACGCACATGGAATTTTTTAAGTGTGCGCAAAAAAAAAAAAACAAATGGCTCCAAATAAATAGCACAATCATTTTATTACGAAGTAATGGTAGATCACGTGATCGAAAGAGAGGCGGCCACACAACCCTGCCACAAACGCCAGGAACAGATCAGACGTCGCACCAAGTCCGAATAAGGCAATTGATCGAAGTTGAGAATCATATCGATATGGGTGCCGCCAAGTGAAAACCCGATATTCTAAAAATAGATTTCTATGGGCGGGGTTTTAACTAATCTGACTAGAATAATGAATTATACTGTTTTTTTGATCACATATAGAGATGGGCCAAGTAATTTAACATATTATTACTTATTATTTTTAAATATTTCCGACAATTTTTTGCGTAATAAATAATAATAAGTAAAGATGCAAAATTCAATCCGAACAACAAAATTATTGAGTTTAAAATTTTACTCTCCAGATTACATTTGAAAATTGTAATAAGTAATAATCATGCATCATAAACAATCATTGGTAATAATACGTAAGTTTAAGTACTGGGTAAAAAAATAAGTAATTATTACTTACATTATTACCTTGCCCATCTCTAATCACATAGTAGTTCATTTAAAGTCTGTAGAAATCTATTTTAGCGAATGACATACGTAGCAGCATATGCTAGCAACATGCGATCAGCAATAAGGAAACGACAGGGGAGGCATAAATATGCTGAACGACAAATGAAGGTCACTTTGGTAAACAAACGCGAAAACAAGGAAGTTCCTCGACCCTCCCAATGGGAAACAGACGATCACGTGGTCCTGCCATTCTTCGCTCATTTCTCTGTTCTCATTAGGAGCATACATGTCTCTGCTCGCAGCCGGCTTGCCTCGGCAAAGCGGAAAACCACCGGCCTGTCAATCCTGCAGTGACTCCCAGCGCAATAATGATGCAAATTTCTCGGGATGTCTTTGCCGTTCTTGACCAATCTCGGTCAATTATTCACTCTATGCCATAATGTGCTAACATATTTCTTAACCGCTTAAATAAAAAATCACCTCCGGACTAATAAATAATTGCCGGCTTAGTCCAAATTATAGTATAATGTGTGAGCAATACTTTTCGATACCATTTTAAAATATTTAAAGATAAAATATAATTTCAATATTCGTATCTTGATCATTGACGTTAGTTAACAAGTTAGCTTCATAATACATATAGCGCGCATCAAAGATTAAAAAAATATATGAATTTAAGAATTTTAATGAGCGCATTGCGTCCATAATTTTAAGCATATGTGCGCACATTAATTTTACACTGGTTATAACCAGGATAAAAACTAAAAATTCAGATCATATGATCTAAATATACATGGGTGCCTAAATTATTTTTGGCTTGCCGTAAATAAAAATTGCCGGTTTAATACAATTTTTATAAGATTTATATTTGTTTATGAAAAAATTGCACCAAAAACATAGCTTTTGTATCATCTTATGTAGAGATTGAAGCTCAGGACATTTACATCACGCATTATTTTTCACACATGAATTCATCGCGAATATAGATCAACGGATATATACATGCATTCGGATAAGTGATTATAGTCTACGATAACACATATAACTACCTATAAAGGCCATCTGAAGGATTTTCCCCCCAAAAATGTTCGTCCTTGTAATTTTTGACCAATCAAGATTTAAGATCAGATGTAATGTGAAGTAAAAAGTTGCGTGTAAAATTAAACCAGAAAAACTGCATTATGTGTGTTAAAGTTAGATCAATACAGCTCTATTAGTAAATTTCACAAGAAACCCTTTTAATTAGGTCACAGAGGTGGTTTTCTAACTAACATTTAGCACTACTATTTTTTTTTTTTTGATAAAAAAAAAGTAGCTTTGAAATTCGATTGGTCAAAATTACAAGTGGAACAATGGCACAATCAAATATTTGATTAGTCAAACATCAAACGATCGTAGATCAAGTTAGTTGTATATGTTGTAAGTGGAAACGGAATTTTTGTTTAAAACCAGCATTCCAGGATTGATTTTATCAAATAAACACCCATATCCTAACCCTAATTTAACTAGAAAATTTCAAATTCACTTAAATTCCGTTTCAACTCACAACATGTATACTGTCAGAGGTAAAACCGACACCCCATAGAACCTGCGAAATGGACGTCATTGTGGCATACTTACCTAATTGGAGGTGCCCATGACGATCCATCTGAAACATGTGCGCCCGGCCCCAAAGAAGCCATATGAAAGTACACAAGCCTCCATGCGGGACCCCACCACCCCCTCCAATTAAAGTAAGGTCGACCTGGACCAACCTGTTGCGCTGGGAATGGACGTTGACTCCACCTACCCTACTTGGGTTAGGTGTGAGGCGATGTCAGGGGGGTGCGATTGAAGACAATATGATGGGTTCTGGCCCCGGGATAGTGAAACTGAAACATTTCTCATCGGTTCTACGAAGGCCGTAAGAAATGTTAAAGTAACGAAAGGCTGTGTGGAAGGTGTTAATGGTTAGAACAAATAAGGTTGGGAAGCGTTGGGAATAATGAGAAGAATCGTGGTCTTGTGCGGGCTCTTCTCGCGCTTAATTCATTATAAAAAGGGTGGAATTTCCCCCTTCTAAAAGGAAGCTCAGTTAAGTTCAGAATCGTACAAGAGTCCAGTAGAATTAAGAACCGCCCCGAATAATATAATAATATAATTGTACTGCCCCTACAAAATATTAATAAAATTAATAAAGCCCTTTGACCTATAAAATATCCTAACGCTCTTTTAAAATTATACACTTATAACGCTCCTCATCGATCCCCTCGACCTTGTGCCAAATCGAAAAACCGCCTCTATTATCCTTGAGGAACGTTACGCGACATAATCGTATTTCAAGCGACAATCCGTCGCATTTGCCCATCTCTGAACTCGACATTATAACCCGTCACAGTAGCATAGCGGTGGTAGAAAAATTGGGCAATTACGTCGATTCCGATCTACATACTTCGTAACAACAGTAACAGAGGGAACCGAGTACTTTTTAGAAAGCTCATGTTATTTATCCTACTTTGAAATGTGGAGTATCGCTCTAAGTAACCCTGAAGTGTTCGCGCCGTATTTTAATAATATCGGTTGAATCTCACAGATTTTATATGACGATTTACCCTACAAAGTTGTATAAATAGGTAATTTATACTTATAAACCTTACTATTTGATTGGCTAAATAACATGTGACAATACATGAACATCTAATTGGTGCCGATCAATAATCAAAAACAATATACCTGTTTTTTTTCGGTTTTTTATTTTTTCTTACACTTTTTTTGCTTTATATAATAACAAACTTTTATTGTAGTTAGTTTTCTTTTATTTCAAAAAATGTTACGTCGGTTCGTCGGTTCGTCGGTACATAAAAGGCAATGTATCATAGATGTCTAAGTTGTTTTCACTGTTAAATACTGCAACACGTCTGCGGAACAAGTGGAAGGAAAAGCTTGCTTTTCTGGCGGGTTTATCAGCGAAAATTACATCTGGTTTATGATACAGTAACTGAATAGTTGCTTAATTATTGTGTGCATCTATTTACGACATTGACTGAAGATTGAAGACAATAGAAGCGCATCGGGCCGCAACTCAAGACAGTTACTAGTTAGACATTGAGACCTACGGTGGACGGCTTGTTGTGAACGTCTATTTCTTTTTTCAATGGTTTTAGGGGTTATTATTGCGGTTAGTATTTTAGTTTATGTTTGCTGGACCGACTAATTAAGGTAATTACTCCTTAAGAGGGTCAGGTGGACGGAAATCGGGTATTAATTGTTGTAGGTAGTTTATGGGCATAAAATCAAGCAACTCGGAAGCTCTTCGCGGCCACAGTAACTTCGTGGCTACAGTTACTGTGAACGTCCTTGTTTGATTTTTCAATTATCATGCAATTTTATACCGATATATAGGTCATATTACACAAGACGACAAAATATTCAAGACTGAAGAATTCAAATTAAGTTTAGTCAGGATTACAAAGTTTTACATAAAAAAATTTCTTGTTTAAAAAAAATTGAGGTTGTTTTTGTTAATATCAATTGATTTTTTTAAATAAAAATAGTAAATTTATGTATATTAATAAATTTATTAAATATTCGAAAAGTGTAAAAAAATAATTCGTCAAAAATTTATAAACGTTTGAAGATAAATGAAAAGTCTCAATTAATAAATCGAAATAATCGTTACTACTTAAGCAATTATTGTAGAATCACGAAAAATTACAATTTACTGATTATTAATCATATTAGATAGTCAATCGATTTTTAATAAAGAAATTGTTTTTAGATTATCGAATCAAATTTCGTACCAGTTTGAAAATGATTAATATAGAGCTCTGTGCAAGCGAGAAACATCTAAGAACATTAAAGGGCGAAACAAATCACATTATACTAAAGAATAATTTTAATTGTAAAAAAATCCACGAAACATCAAATGTAATTTGATTCGTTCAATTGGGTTCGTATCGTTAAAACTGGACAAATTGTTCCAATTAACAATAAACTTAATTTTTAAAACACACTTCAGTTATATATTCAGTTGACAATGTACTGGACAAGTGGCATAGCGAAAGTATTAGAGGTTCGATTGCCAGACTATTATATTCTAAGGTCCCATCTTACACTTTATTGTAGGGACGTTCCTGAGTATATCCGACGATATTGACTTGATAACTTGCATAAGAAAAATCACGCTTATAGACGTACCAAATATTATACAATTCAAGTGTCATGTGCTAAATGTTACGACATAAGTCTTCAAGTGTTACGGCACATGTCAAGCATGCAAAATGCTACGGCATATGTAAGTTAAACCTTTTTAACGTATCGTTCATATCTCAAGTTACGGCCATCGGGACAAAAAAGGTTATCAAATCATATCTCTAGAAATTATAATTATATCGAATAAAATTTTAGATCAAGAGTTCTTTGAAACTTTATTAAAAATATTAAAAATTTCTTTATACTGAAAAATTCCGAATTAATCAGCTTTTGGAACTTCAGTTGCTATTACGTTATTTGTAGTCTTGGACGCTTTTTTGCATTTTTTGCAGTTTTTTTGTCGTCCCTAGATTCACCAGCAAATTTTTTACTAAATTCTTCTGCCATTTTTTCATCAATCCTCTTGAAAGAAATTCGGCTTTGCCGATTTGGTGGCCAGCTTCAATATCCATTGTAAACGTATCAGGAATATTCCTCAGTGGTGCATTTAATTGACGGAGAATGGACTCAGTGACGGATGGCATATATTGACTAAATACGGCGGAAAGAAGATAAATCAAATTTATCGAGACTCCAATGACCGAAGCGCATTTCTCAAGACTATTGGCAAACAAAGTGTTATCAGGTTTTGATTCCTGCAGATAACCATTGCTCTGTCGTGAAATATCCATGGCTATTTCAAGACCTGCACGTAATTTTATATTTTCTAGTGCTTCAATATAATTTGTCAACAAATTATTGATGTTCTCTATAAGTGTTTGTTCGGATTCGGAATCATAAGAGAAAGATGGAATAGTGCTATCATATTTGACAGTGACAAATTTCATAACGCGATTGACAAAATTTCAAAGATTGACCAACAATTCAGTATTATTCCTGATAATAAATTCTTTCCAAGTGAATATGGAACCACTTGTTTCAGGACGGCTTGAAATCAAATAATATCTCCAGACAAAAGGTATTCCGTTATCCTTTGCATCACCACCAAATACCCAAATATTGCGAGATTTGGAAAACTTCTTATTTTCATAATTAAGATATTCTAAATTGTAACATATATATATATAATTATAAAAAAAAAAAACAAGATCAGAAATTATCGTTTCTTACCAGTCGTGCTTATACGTATGATGCAACAGAGTCCATTCTTTGTCCGTACCCAATAATGAACAAGGAAACATAACAGTATGTAAAGGAACATTGTCTTTCCCCTTAAATTGATCTGGTCCGGATTCTTCCTCCATTTTTCCCATTCATTCGTGTAATTTGCCATTATAGATAGGTATCTTTGCATATCAGAAGTAATGTAAACCAAATGTTGGTAACAGTAGAAATTAGTTATATAAGACTTACCCGATAGGTGCATCAAACCAAACATAAAACACTTTTCCTTTCATTTCTTCGAGTGGCCCCAGCTAATATCACGTGTAATATAACGAGGTTTTAACCCTTCTTTAAGCCAAGATTGAGTAATATTTTTGCTATTAGCTGGCCATTTACCATCAACACTAGTCTTTTCTATCCAATTTTCAACTTTGGTTGTAACTTTGATAAATCTGAATAATAGGTGTACTATTATCTGCTTTACATCGTGGATTCATAAGTTCTACAGAGTTAAGAAGTTGGTCACAATAATCACATTGATCTCCTCACACATCCTACGAGTCGTAATTAACGTATTAAACAGTTGTTTATGTCCCTGTACCTGTACCTGAGGCCAAATTAAGATTATTCACACACCTCATTGTCACATTTAGGACAGGTCCCTTCTACGAAACGATTCGCAAGAAACCTACAGTGAATTTTACACTTCGCAAATAGCTTTCACGTATGATTATAAAAAAAAAATAAAAATCCAGAAGTTTACCATTGAAACTTTTCGCAGAATACTTTATAAACATCTGGTTTTAATTTATTGTTTTATTGCTTTATTAAAAATCCGGGTCTTATCAAAAAAAAACGGAGATATATATTCATGGATACTCAATTATTGTGCTCGGGATGTGACATCCCGCACATTTCCGCTATAATGTTAATGTTGGGGTGTCTGATTAACTAATTGTACAAAAATTCGATATAGACACCTAATTAAATCTATTACAGTCAAACCTCCCAAAACTGGTTCTGTTAAAATTGATTCTGTCAAAACTGATAACATGTGATAACTGACAAAAAATTTAGTCATCATGTCTGTTCCATAAGTCAAACCGATAACCTGTCATTCCTAATAACTAATATTCAAAAATTCAATACTTATAAGATATCAGATTTAACAGATAAATTAAATTAAATTAAGAGTAGAGGGTACTATATTAAATTTTATATAAACTCAATGGTAAAATTTTTTATATTTAATTTTATAAAAGATTATATTAAGTAAACTAATATTAATTTATAAGAAAAGTTTGTAGAACAGGTCTTTCTGATTTTAATGATAGTAAAATTATTAAATTTAGTTAAAAACTTAGTAAGATATGACTTT